AAGCAAGCAAGCAAGAGAGAGGGGGGGGGGCTACCCCTGCCCTAGTCCCGCACAGCCAAAGCTGATCGCATTGGGCTGGGGACAGGGCCAGGGTTGGCTTTTTTGGTAGGTTGCAGCGGGTCTCCGCGGAGCTCGAGCAGCAAACCTGCAAAGCATCTTTGGAGAAAACCAACCTCGAGGCCGTCATTCTTTGGGTCGGGTTGTACGAAGTTCATAATTGTGATGCCTGCGATGCTGACACGCTGGCCCCTGCTAGGCTGAACTTTGGAGATGCCGCTTCGAGGGGGAGTCGGAGCAGGCTCAGCTGAGGGAGAAGGCGCCTGCCTTTCACTTCAGCACCGCTCCTGGAAGCCTTTGGGCCCGAAGAAAGTTCTGATGCCAAGAAGCTGCGTGAGCATAATGATATAAACAGAAGCAAACAAACAAACAAACAAATAAATAAATAAATATATATGTATATATATATACATACAGGCATGCATGCATGCATGCATGCATGCATGCATGCATGCATGCATGCATACATACATACATACACACACACATACACTATCTATGTTTATATATACACATACATATATAAATATATATATATACACAGAGAGAGAGAGATATATATATATATAGAGATAGATAGATAGATAGATAGATAGATAGATAAATTATAAAGGACATGCCACCTTCTGCAGGTCGATGCGCAGAGGCGCGAGGCAGCCTCTTGGCATGACTGGTGAGGTCCATCCAAAGGCCGTTCAACAATGACAGGGTGCAGGGCAGGGGCCAAGACTCGTGAGATTACCCTTCAGAATGTCTCCAACACTTCCGAGCTCACGAAATCTCGTCAGTTCAGCTTTCAGGTAACTGGAGGCAACAGAACCGGAAGCACCTCCCACTTCCCCACTTCCCCACTTCCCCACCACCCACCTCCGCTCCCACCTACCTCGGCGCATGCTTAGCGATACCTTGCTTCGGGTAAGCGGGTAAGCGGTGCATTGGGCTGGCGATGTATGCATTTCTGAAAGTGTTGAAACAGCCCTGAGTCTAGCCAGCTTCGACATGGGGATGGCAGGAGCCCCACCAAGCTGCTAAGTGTCGGGGTGTGGGCCTCCGATCCTGCCTCGTCCCCCGCGCCCTATCGCTTTACGAGTTGGCCTCTGTCTGTCTCTCTCTGTCCCTCCCTCTCTCTCTCTCTCTCTCTCTCTCTCTCTCTCTCTCTCTCTCTCGCATTTATGTCGACTAAGGATGCTTACGAGGCACACGCGCGTTCCTCAGGCGCTATCGAGGCGAGCTTCAGAAGATTTGTTGAACGTCGGGCTAGCATTATCACGAGAGCGAGGGGACTGCGGTTGATTTCCGTGAGCCGTGAAGCTAGAATCTAGGAATGTCCACAAACGCGTACTGTTGGCCATGGGCCATTCGCCATTTACACGCAGTGGTTGAGTGCCGAGTGGGTCTGTTCATGTTACTGTCCAGACTGGTCCATGCCTGGCTAAGTTGACAGGCTCGCACGCTCACAGATGATAGCGACGTGAAAGAGAAGAGCATCAGAAGTCAAGGTGGGTTCTGAATAGACCTTTCGCAAAGCCTTCCATGAGGTGTTGCAGCTTCTAATGTTGGTTCCTTTTGATGTTGCTGTGCCTGAACCAGTCATGTCGGGAATCTTACATCCACTTCCGGGCAAAATTGAAGATCGCACAAGCACAGCTGTGATCCACGGATTTTGTATATGGCACCACGTACAGTGTCAGTGTCTGCTTCGCGACTACAAGTCTGATAGAGGGCCAGACTCAGAGTGCATGCCTGCTGTCTCGCCTTGGCTTCTTCGCTGATGGCAGTCAAAAATTCTTCATTAAAGCCAGGTTCAGCTGATAGCATATGCTATTCTGATTTCCCCACCACGATCAGGGTGGTTGATCTGGCGGGTGGGAGGGATCGGAGTTGGGATGGGTCGGGTGAAGCTCACATTGGTTCGGTCAGGTTCAGAAGTTCCTTCAGTAGGGCAATGGAAGACCCGACGAAGCAGCAATCTGTTGTCTACTTGGTGAGGTGCTTGCATGGCTCAGAATCCGCGAGGGCAGAACGGATTGAGGCCGAGCCTTTCACTCTGTGGCAGAGTTGGAAGGGTCACTGCAGTTCTGCATGGCAGGAGCCCAGATGGAGCACCAGATGCTCACCTTCAGGAGGGGCCTCCCGGGAAAAGTGACAGGGGAATTGCTACCAGCCCGGAGCAGCTCTGAGGGCCTAAGCGCAAGGACTGCAGCGTTGCAGATTGTTGGAGGAGAGATCTCTTCCGGCTCCGAGGATTCGCCCCTGCCCGGCGGCCCCGAGCTGAGCAGCTCCTGTGACGACTCAGTACCAGTGACAGGGGGTAGATAGATAGATATGATGTGTTGACATGAATATGTATACAGAGTGTTTACATACATACATGCATACATGCATACATGCATACATGCATACATGCATACGTGCATACATACATACATACATACATGCCTACATACATACATACGTCTACATACATATTTGCCGATGTGCGTTGGGTTGACTTCTCTTCTCTCTGCACCTCGGAGCAGGCACAGCTCCAGACAGTTCTGGCTGACAACGAGCGGCTGACACTTGTAAAGCACTGGAGACACTAGTCACTAGTGACTTCTGCGGATGTGAGCATCGACCGTGGAAGCGGCGGCACATCCTGTGCCTCTTGATCGAAGGAAGCTCCTGGTCTCACGACAGAGCGGATCCTCACCTGCTCGGCGGCTCGCGAATCTTGTTTGAGTTGTTAGCGCGAGTTGCGTACCGAGTAGCGTGCTTCGTGAAGCTGGGTGAAGATGACTAGCCGAATGAAGGCCCGAGCGACCTAAAATAGGTGAGGTGCTGATTTTCCTCCCAGCCCGTCGCATTTGCACTGCAAAGAACACTTCCGTCCTGTTTGTATCCTTCGAGCGCACTTCACGGAGGCAATTTGTTAAGAAAGGCGCAACTGATTTGGCTTCGTACTAGGACTTGCTGAAGCTTACGGCATCCAAAACCTCTCTCTCTGTTGTTTTCTTTCCCGCGCGGCAGCACGCACAAGCCCACAGAGCCTCTCGAGAAACAGCGCCTGGAAAGTCACGGTGGAATGAGGAGCCCGGGTTCCACCATCTATGAGCCGGTGACACCTCAAAGCGTGCGGCGGAGTGACGCGGTCGTGGGAGTGCTCTGAATCCTTTTTCCGATTGCCATCGCTTTGTCCGAGCTCGCTTGTGCATACCACTCCAAGCTAATGTCCTGACAGCAAAAGGGGGGACTGCCTGCTTTCCGCCGGACGATGCTTAAGCATCGATGCTCGGCCCCTTGCCGGCGAAGGCCCGGCTTCAGGCCGGAACGAGCAACGGCCTCGATCCAGAGATGGAGCAGGCCAGGGTTTGCTTTGGCCACAGCAAAAGCTGGGGAGCTCTTCCTGAGGGGTTTTTTTAGCAGAGGTCGCCGGCCTCGGCACCCTCGGGAGGTTTCGCCGAAGCCTCAGGACCCGGGCCAGGACGCAACTCTAGGCGCGCAGAAGGACTGCCGCAGGATGTAAAGGGTCCGCCGAGAGACTTTCTGTCGTTGAGAGTATGACTGACAATATCCCGAGGTGCTCACGCGAGCACGCTCGGGACACTGCTGTCCTTGGCATGGCGACGCTTTCCAGATAACATATTTCTTTGACGTGGCATCGTTTTCGAGTGCATCTCTGAACGGGTGCTCATTTGTTCAGGAGATCTTGATCGGGGGGCACTTCGGAACTTTCATCCCCTGAACTCCCTCGCCCTCCCGTTCCCATGCCTCCCTGCTGCTTCTGTCGTCTCCGAGCTTAGGAAAGATGTCAGAAGGACACGATGCGAACCGAGCAGTCCGAACCCCAGGAAAGGACGACTTCGAATTAAGGAGAGGTCGGGATTCCGCACGTGCCTTTGCAGTGGTTAGCAACGGCCACAAGCCCTTCAGCTATGCAAGGGAGAGATCTGCATCATTGCAAAAAGTGAGCAAGTTATGTGCGAGGCAAGAAGAAGGCATCGAAAGCAGCAGCGTCGAAAGCTGCGTCCAAAGCTGCCGCCAAGAAAAAGGACCATACAAAGGTCCGGTCGAGCGAGCAAGATGCCGAAAGGAAGGTGCCGCCACACAAGCGGGGTAGAGAGGCCAGCGAGGGTCCTGAAAGTGGCATGCTTTGCACATGTACCATGTCATTATCAAGACATGTGCTTCGGATCTCAGCTTTCTGGCTGCCATGCCATGCGCCATGCAGCATAGACTGTGCAGAGAGAGCCTGACGCCAGGAAGAAGTCCCAAAACATGAAGCTAAGCAGGCAACCGGCCACTTCGGTGGTTTTTGGCGGAACTGCGTCACGCGTGCCGATCATCTTCAGTCGCGAGCTCGAGGTCAAGCGGTCCAAGGCAGAGGATGCGATTCCGCTTATTGCCGGCAAGGCTTCACGCTTTGCTGACTCAAGGCAGGACAACCCTTGGTGACATGCTTACGCAGGCCAAGAGCAAGGCCAGGAAGAGTGTGGCAGATGCGCCGAAGAAGGACCAGCTGCTGTGGAGACCCCTACTGAGTTTGCTTCAGCTTTTGGTTCTGGATCTGGAAGAGGAGTCCTCGGAGTACGAGTATTACAGTTACTACAGTCCGGCGCTCATCTGCCCCGGAATATCTCCAAACACCAAGTATGCACAAGACATGCTGAGTGAAAGGGAGCTTTCCATAGGCGGCAGGCTCACCGTGGAACCGAACGGGCGCTGAGGTGAGCAGGAGGAGGATAAGTCTGAGTCTTCCTCAAGCTCTGAGTCCACGTCCTAAGCTTCGCTGTAAAAAACGGATCTGTGTCAGAGTATATAGCTTGTTTGGACATGTTTGGACTTGGACAACTCATCAGCCGAGTTCCGACGACGCCAGCAACGAGTGACCGTGGCTTCTCCAAGCATAGTTTCAGTGTGCCGGCCGCTGCAGCCCAGACAGGATTTGCGCTGGCCGAAAGTATCCGACAGTGTCAGCAGTTAAGCTGCAAATGCGGAGAGAAGCTGCATGCTGTGATTCTCCAGTCTATGCCTGGCCGTTTTCCATCTCCAGCGATCCTCTGCCTGGGTTGATCCGTTTGGTATTGGGGCCGACCAGTTGCTCCGAGCTCCTTGGCCCGAGTGCCCTCACCGGACCCCAAAATTTCTCTCGAGTTTTTGGGGCCATTTCCTTCGCCCTTGCGCTGAGATCAGGCCGAGGCCATGTCACTTCTTCAGTCAATCTTCCGTCTGCGCAGTGAGGCGACCGGGCTCGCTTTTGGCTGTTGTCCTCCATCCACTTCGCAAGACTCGGTATCGTGGCCCCAGGAAAACATGCAGGAAAAGATGAACTCCCCGCAAGGGACCATCAAAGCAGAGGATCCGCGGTGCTCGGCACTTTATGCATTCAACGGTGCAGGGCTCGTCAAAGCTCAACCTCTTCGCTCACATTCTAAACGCCGTTGCGCATCGAGAGCGCGAAAGGTGCATCGGCTCTGCAGAATCGGCGTCCAGATTCTCGATGCGAGCATTTATGTTTGCAGCACCTGCTTCGTGTACACTCCAGATGTCGTATCGAAGCTGTAGCAGCGTCTTCGCGATCATGCTGCAGCCAAGGATCTTGCTTTCGACTTGAGCGCAAACTTTCAGGAAGCTGCCCCAATGGCCTCTCGGTCTGACTCGGTCCGTGGATCTTCGCGCTGTCGAGGAACAATGCGCGACGAATTTGTCACCGATGCTGTCGATGGAGAAGTCTGAGACCATCACAGGCGAGAGGATTGGGCAATGAATGCGCTTGCACACTTCGCGATGTCAGGCAAGTCAGCAGACGGCAAGGAGATCAACGTGATCCCAAAAGGAGGCGGTCACCGAAGTGACGATGCTGTTTGTGGACAGCTGGCTAGCGAGCTGCCAGGTAGCCACAAGGGCAGAGCCGAGGTGCTTAAGAATTTCAACCAGCGCACCTTCCTGAGCTTGCTGGAGCGGTGGCTGCTGCAGTTCTTTTGTTCCAGAAGACATCCCGCCGTCTCGAGGCTATGAGCTCTACAGCCGCTTGATGGCCTGATTATCACTGGTTCCCGACAGTCCCCACAGCGGAGCAGTGCAGAACCTGCACTGTATTTGCACAGAACGGGCTCTGTAATTATGTGTACATTTGAGCGAATCCACGAGTTTGGCCAACAGCAACCCACCTCGTGGCGTCGCAGTAAATTAGCGCTTTTTAAAGTGCTTGCATGCAGGCAGCAATTCTGACGTCTTCTTGCCTGTCTAATGGCCGTGGTCATCACACGGCTTCCCGATGGACGATCCAGGGGCCAGATTCATTGTGACAATCCCGTTCGACTTGCTGCATTTACATGTTGAAACGCCGGAGGAGGTTTTCAAGAGCAGATTACTTGATGGTGCGGCTAAAAGGCATTAGGCACTTCTTTTCAAGATGGCTTGCATGCCACGATGTGCCGGCCTGTTGCCTAGCCAGGACTGCTTCACAAGTCACATCGATTGCGGCAATGGCAGTCCAGCGGTTTTACACTGTACACCGTTGTGACTTTTTGCTGCCGAGCCTGCCGCGAGTGCCACAGTGCACCAACGCAGGAGCGAAAACGAAAAACAGACAAGAGCTAGACACATTGATGCCCTTCCACTGTGGCACATGGCGAACTGACTCTACCGGCAGTGCCGCTTCACTTCAAGCGACTTATGTGATGATTCTAACGGTTCTTGTTTAAACTGCTGCCAGGCTACGCAATTGCACTTAGACTAGATGCTGTAGAGCTCTCAAGCTAGGCAGCACAAAGCAGCTGAGAAATGGAATTCCACTAGGCCAGGTCATGTTGTCCATCCTTGGTCGGATTGTAACTGGCAGCCCCACCACTTGACAAAACATGTTGCAATGCGGCAGCCTGAGATGATACGTGGTGCCAGATCCATTGGCTAGAGCACCACCTGCTTTGCCAAGGCCTTTCTGCAGCAACTCGTTCGGAGCACTTTCAGTTGGAGCTCGGTACTCACAGAGTGCTCGGCTGTGCAACCTGGCTAGAGAGATGCAATGAAACAGCCGAGGCTTGGCCAGGATGCGGGCGGACACCTGAGCGCGAGTGGCAGAGTATCTACCCTTCCCGCTAATCGTGGCAATGCTCGTAGAACCTTCCGGGCTGCCCCCACTGTGCAGCCAGGTTTCAGATGGGATCCTTGTCTTGCATGTGTTTGTGTCCCGTACCAAGATGCAGCTTTGTGCTTGCACCTGGCATCGGCTCTGAGACAACACTCTTGGTGAGCACCAGGCATGCCCGATGCAGCTGCACCAATCTCCGAGACGTCGGGGGCCCATCATCTGGCGAGGACACCTCTACAGAGTGATGGGGAATGCCGGGGCGATGGTTTTGCTGGGAAGTTGGACTGAGGCTCCTAGTGGCAGATGAAAACGGACAGATCGTGGTGCGATCCCGGAGCAGTCACTGGCTTCAAAAGGCTTTGCTCATAAGGCTCTGGCCAGGGATCTCCACGAAGCCCCCCAGGCTTGAGGCCACTGTCCGTTTTACTGAGGCCTGGCGCCGATCTCGGAGCCCAGCGCTCTGATGGAGTAGAATCGCCTCACAGGTCTAGGGCAGTCTGCAGTCTGAATCAGCCACGAGTAGCTGTCTTTGCTGATTAGCTGTGGCCCTCAGCCAATTGATGATACAAGGATGTCGAAGGAATCCTGTGACACGGTGTGCAGCACCCAGGTGAGAACTACTACCTCAATAAGTAACTACTACAATCTTAAGTAACTACTGCAAACAAAGGAGCAACAGAGCAGATCGCAGAGTTCTCATTCGAAACGTCTTCTTGTCGCCAACAACAAGCCTCAATACCAATGTTTCGCCACCGACATGGCGACCCGCAGCTTGTCTATGCCGGAGCTCATAGGTGCAAACGGCCTGCTGTCTTTGCCTGACGCGGACATGCATGTGCAAGTGCAGGAGATACCATCCGGGAAACCCGCACTGCTGTCATAAGCGACGCTTGGGGAGGTGATGAGGAAGGCGCAATGTCCCATTTGTCAATGACGGAAGATGCACACCGCCCTCATTGCAACACTGGTGGAGGCGATCCGAAGCAGCTGTGGCTGCTGGCGCCGGCAAGGGGGGCCGTTCAAGGTGAATATGTTGGCTTGGCTGATTTTAGCCTTACACGACGTTTACCCACGTTGGTTCCAGGCCAGGCTAGGTGCTTGACCAAGTTTCACAAGGCAGGTCATATACCCGCGCGTTTACACAACAGGCTATTCCTGTATTGAATGTTTTTGAGAGCGGTTTGCAAAAACAATAGAAGCTGCCTGTTCTAGCACGTGCTGGCTGGTGGGTGCTTGCTGCCGAGGTTCTCCAGAAGGGACGAGACAACTTCAACCAGCCTTTGTGGAGACAACAGAAAGGATCAGGCTGGCTCTTCAGCAGCGCCTCAGCTCCAGATGGTTTCTGGCGCTTTGCCAACAGCGACGTGGAAACCCGGCCAAAAAGCAGTTTGGCACTAAGCCGAGAGGCCGAGCAGGGCGCACATGCAACTTCCGTCCATGCTGTCAGGAATTGGCTGACCGGCTCGGCCCGATTCAGTCAGGGCAGCCACACGACGGAGCAGCCCCCCAGAAGGCCATTCGACAGGCTGTGCCGAGAACAAATCCTCCAGCAATAGTGATCAACAGTGCAGGTGGCTTCTTGGCAGTACTACGACGGCAGTGGTTGGCATGACGACGCGTCCATATTGGCAACCTCGGCCAGAATGATCCTCATCCTCATGTCATGCCCAAGTGCCAAAGGCAGAGCCGGCAGCCCGAGAACTTTGGATGCAGGTACTGGACTCTCAGGAGAAGTTTCTGGCTGCGGCAAAGAAGCAAAGCTCTTCGGCCAGCGAGGCTCGAGATTCCGTCGTCTCTGGTGAGAGCCATTCCCTTCCCACTGCGTCTGTGCGGAGTGGCCTCTCCGCAGTCCGCGCTGGAGTCAATGATCACTGAGCGCACTGAGACAGATAAACTGTCAAAATGCATTGCAGATCACATCATTACTGGTCATGCTTGTGCATGGTGCTCAGCATAAAGACGAAGCAGCTGGAAGCATGGCCCGCCATCTTGTAATCCCCTGTTGACCCATGCCCAGGCAGCAGGTAAGGTTAGGCGCTGCACTCTCCGGTTTTGGACACGGAGGGTCGACTCCGACCTGCTGTCCTTCAGGAACACCCGCCGTCGCTTTGGCTGCTTGCTCCGCGGTACCCAAATTTGCAAGGCGAGTACCGAAAGCAGGACACGCACTGACATGCACCATGAGCCACGCGTGGATTCGTCTCGACCAGCAAGCTTCTCTTCCCTGGCTTGTTGCCCAGGAGACTCGGCGAGAAAGAGGCCAGCCAGTATGGCGGAAAGTCGGGGGAGAAGGCAGAAGGGATGAGCTTTACGCTGTAAGCTCATGCTGCTTTAGCTCCACAGCCTCGTAAGTGTCAAGGCTGGATCTTCAGCACGAGCAAGCGCCGATGGTTTATTACGGACAGAGTTTCACGGGGCTTAAAACCCTGCTTGCTGTAGAGACCAAGCTCGTCATGTCAGAAGCGGCTTTCAGCAATGCGCCAAAGCGAAACACCAGACCGCCATCCCAGGACGACGAAGCTGGAATCATTCAAAGTGGCAAGGAGCCTCAGTTTTGGCCGTAGGATGTGTGAGATCAAGTATGCCTCCAGTTCTGGTATCGTTCAGCAACGAAGGTGGTGTGATGGCGTCCGTTGCTCCGCACAACGACGCACCACCCAATAAAATCGAGACCACTGTCTGCATTCAAACTTCAAACTTGGAGCGGATTGCACTTGTCTTTCCAGCAAACACGCCACGTGATGCGCGATCCGGCGGCAGACCAGCATAGCAGTATATGTCCTAAGGCACTGGCAGTTTTTCAATGATGGCTCGTGGCAACCTGATGCCACAATTCTGCTCACAGAGACTTGGCGATGGACAATGGGTAACTCCGCAAGCATCGGGTGGTTCAGGCGTGTGTTTCGGGACGATGGCAGGCAGCACCACAGTCAGAGTTTGTAGCATGAAGGCAGGCAGGGTCGGCGGTGCGCTGTGCTCCTGGAAGGAGCTTTCCGACGAGGCAGGGACATCCTCAAAAGGCTAACGCTGGGCAGCTAATATGATAATGCCTGGGCTTGCGATGCAGGAGCCCAAATACCATGGTACAACTACAAGGGTATTAGCTGCAGGGTTCGTCCGCACTGACACTAAGCCGGCCAGGTGGTACACGTCTTGGCTGCTAGTCACTGGTGGTCATGGTGGTGGCGGCGGCGACGGCGGTGGGGTGGTAGGAGTAGCAGTAGCAGTCGTCGTCGTAGCAGTAGTAGCAGCCGTCGTCGTGGTCGCCGTCGTCGTCGCAGGACTTAACAGGCTTCTTGTGGTACCACGAAGACCACTAATCATCTGCACCGTGCACTTCAAGACTGTTGAAGAGTTCTTGTCCACCGAAGCCGTCATTCAAGCTAGTTTCGGGAATTGCACCAGAACAGCTGCCTGAATCTGGCTGCAGTGTTGTGCCAGATTGTGGTTCCTGATAGCGTGCTAAGGACAAGCAGGCTGAGGCGCGTGCCGGCGTGGGACTGTCAGCTTGGGTCTGGTCTGTGCAAACTACGACATGACGACTTGCTTCTTCGCGGCATGATCGACTCGAGTCCGTGTGAGAGAGAGAGAGAGAAAGAGAGAGAGAGAGCGAGCTCATGGTTTGCACGTCGAGTGCGTTTGTCTAGAATAAGAGTGCCGATCAGGCCCTGCTTAAGCGAAGCACAGAGAACCTGTTGCCAGGCAGAGCGCCTCTTAGCTGAGCAACAACGGGAGGCATGGGTTTGTCTCTTTGATGGTGCGGTCCTTTCAGAACTCCAATGCTGAAGCCCCCTTCTTTCCAAAGTGGAAGAATTTGGCTTAAACGAGGCTCGGACCTGACCGTGATCTGTTTGTTGAAGCGTTCCCTAGATTTCCCTAAGTAGTAGGAGTCTGCATCAACGGGCTGGAGCCTGACCCGCCGAATCCAGCATGGCTGTGTGATGCGTGTGGAGTCCAGTGCGCAGTGTGGAGTGTCTACCGATTCCAATTTCGCAATGGAGAAACTGTCCAAGATGTCCAAGCTAAGCCTTTTCAGAGGCGTTGCCGAAACATTTTCAGAGAGAGCAATATTGCCGAGCTGCCTGACGAGGCATTGCTCCGCAGCGAAACGGCTCCAGAGCGTGCTCGGGGCCAAGTCTGCAAGGAGCAGGTCTTCCGGCCTTCGACATGCCACTGAGGTTTGGATCATCTGCCCCCCGAAGCCTTTGATCCAAGGAGAATATGCACGCCAGTCCACCGCTCAGGGCCACAGTGTCGAGTGGTTGTGGAGTTGTGAAGGGCCCCGGGGCATACTGTCACCTGCGGGGTAGAAAAGATCAAGCGAGCCTTTTTTCTCAGGCTTACCGCAGAGAATCACTTCTGTGTTTTGTCTGAACCAGCTTGCGCCCCCCCATCACCATCCCCAAAAACTAACAACGAAAGAAACACATTGACAGACTTAGAGGAAGAAGATCGGGAGAGCTGCCCACAAGAAGCCCGGACTTGATGGTGCACCTTTCTCTGTTGGTGTGCATAAGTATGTATGTATGCATGCACGCATGCATAAACGAATGTATTTATGTATACCCTCGCCTGACCTCGTCGAGCGTGAGTGCTAAACACATAATATGTATGCATGTGTATGCACACCATGTGTGCCTGTGTTGCACCCTGGCTTGTGGCTACGGTCGTTGCTATGTCCTGCTCGGAGGCCAGGGAGAATAGAACGTGGCCATGCTGTTTGGCGTCAAGCAGGAGGCAGTGGCATACTGCAACTCGGCACCACATTTTTTGGGCAGACGCCATGGCGCAAGAAGTATCAGAAGCGCTCCCACCTTGGTTCGGCATTTCGATTGCTCGTTCTGGCTTAGGTACAGCAACGGCTTGGGTGGCTTGTGGTGTGTGGCATCCCGGAGAACAAAACAAGATGGGCAGTGATGTTTTTGTCCAGTCGATCTTTCCTTCTTCTGCGTGCGGATTGCTCAAGATGTCACCGAGCAATGCAAGTACGCCACAGGGAAAAACACAAGCCAAGGCAACCAAAGAAGCAGATGTCTGGTGCCACAGATATTCGTTGTTCTTCTATGCGCAGCTGCCGCTACTCGAGTTTCCTTGGAGGGTTTTCAAGCCTGAGCCACCCGACCTGCGATGAGGTCCAGAAGAACCTGGGAGTTCTGCAATGTTCCACTCCACACAAGGGTCGCCCCCCGCACGAGATGGAGGCGGCAGATCTGAGAAGAAGAGGGACTTCCTTGCTTGCGAGTTCCAGGCTTGGCAGTATGCTGACGGTTCAACCTGGCGCCTGCACAAGGAGATGCGTGGAAGGCTAAGGCTAAGGCTAAGGGAGAGCCAGTCTCCAGCGAATATCTCAGCACAGGAAAAATGCCGAGGCATCACCGACCAGCGTGAGGAAGGCCTGGCAGCGCTTGCCGAGCAGGCTGGGCTCCGACCGGGTGTTTCTCGTGTCGGTGTTGATGAACCTGCTGACTTGTTGCTGCAGTACATGTTGAGATGTCATGCCGCCCATAGTGCCGGATAGTTTTCAAACGGATACGGGTCGAAGTCAGCGACCGGTAAATGCCTTCGTTGCATTCCGGCTTCAGTCTCACAGGCGCGAAAGTACATGTCGGATACCTTTCAGATGATACAAGTCGACCTCGCATGCGGATTCGGATGCCCATAGCCGAGACAGACTGACACTGCACGCCAAGGAGCCCTCAGTAAGTCTTCGGGAAGCCTTACAAGCCCAAATCACCAAGCATCTTTGTGTCTCTTTTCTCTGGCGAGTTTTCATGCCCTCGCACCTGCGCGCCGTTGGCAAATGGTCGGCACCACCATGTCAGCAGCACGCTGCGTTGCCGTGCTGGCGGCTGTGCTGGCGGTAGCTCACGCAGGCCGAGCAAGAGTTGGGCCTAGCGCAAAGCACTGCTCAAACTCCTGCATCAGTAGCTGTATTTTCCAGCTATCATCTGGTCAGTTAGGTGCTCGCACTGAGGGATCGTGGCAGGAAGTGAAGTGCCAAGGGCCGTCATGCTGAACTCTACAGCAGTGCTCGGGAAACTTGTTTGGGTGGTTTATATGCCCTACCGTGTACTCTGCATCTTGATACTCAGGTCACGTTCATGAAGAGTCATTCTGTGGTACTTCGTTTGCAGGGCGTTCCTGAGTTTCGGAGCAGCTGTGAACCTGAGTTGCAGGTGCCGGGGGATCTTCTCACCTTCGAGCATTAGCGCAGGCTGTGGCTGTGCAGAGCATGCAGAAGGGTCCACAGGGCATAGGTCCACAGGCATTGGCACGACTCAGCAAGTACTTTGCAGTGTTTTTTTTGCAGCACGTCTTTTAGTGCAACTTGTATCCTGGATCTAACGATAAAGCTTTTCATTCGGACAGTTTAGCGAGAGTTCCGTGTTCTGAATCTGCTGCACTACATGCTGCCAGCTTCCTGAAAAATACTCCTGGCTAGTCGGCTAGTCATTATCTTATCTCGCAGGTGAGTTCCACAATCCTCTTGGCTTGCTTTCTTTGTTCAGCACAGTTCTGCACATGTGCTCTCTCGTCCTCAGGAGCGCTGGCTAGCATCCGATAATGGCACGAACGACACCAATAGCACCACTGCTTCAGCAACCACCACCACGACCACCACGACCACCACGACCACAACGACCACAACGACCACAACGACCACAACGACCACAACGACCACGACCACCACAACCAGCACTACTACGACGTCTGCGCCGGGAGGAAGCGCAGACACCAATGACACCAACGACACGGTTGACACCAACGATACCAACGAAACCAACACCACCGGGACCACCACAGAGTCGGCCGAGATCGCGATGAACGAGATCCTTGGCGGCTCAGGTGCTTAGCTTTCGCAGGCTGGTGTAACAAAACATTGTCATCAAGAGCGTGAGTGTGACTCAAGGCTCTGAGCTGGTTGATTTTACATCGGCAGTTGAATTGTGGGAAAGCTTTGGGACTAAGCATTGTCTCCCTTCGAGTCGCCAAACTGAGGCTGGTGCGTGTGTACCCACTTGTATGAGATGGCTGTGTGCTCGCTTTCGATAGTCGGGCAGCATCGGGCGGGTCGAGCGGTGTGTGTGTGTGTGTGTGCCAAGAAAAGAGCCAGTAAACTTACAATTCGGACAGGCAGGCGCAATATCGCACTTTGTACGACATACCTTCGCGAAGCAGACGCGAGCTGGGTATCACTGCGACATCGACGTCTGACTGCGCGATGTCGGCTAGTTGAATCTTTGTTTCGGGAGACCTAAGGATTCTCGGGCTCTCCTTTGCCGGAGCCGGCTTGCTGCCCCTCGCCAGAGAGAACCTATCCCCGACCCTGGTGTTTGCGCAAACATGTGTCGAAGTGGTGTGGAGCGACTTTTGCAGGGTGGGAAAGAAAGCCGCGCCGACAGTGAAGGCCCGAAATACGGAGCATTGCTCAGGCTCTGCGTGGCCGTGCACGCGCTGCTTGCACCGGCCTCCTACAGACTGGACCTGCTCATGGCAGCACACCTCTCCAAAAGGACAAGTGATGCATCTCGGACTCTCTTGGGTTTGTGATCGTGCTTGGGCGTAGTAGTGGCGTAGTAGTGGCAGTAGCAGTAGTAGCGGTGGTAGTAGTAGTTTTAGGAGCAGGAGCGGCAGCAGTGCAGCAGTATAGCAGTAGCTGCAGTAATAGGGGCTTGAAAGCTAGAATCCAAATTTTTGGTGGAGGGCGGTTGGTTACTAGTGGTCGGTCACAGGGAAGGGCATGAAGAGGGGAAAGAGGCTCCTGAAAAGTAAGTCACCCGCAGTGCCAGCATCTCCAGTAAAACGGACAGTTACACAAGTAGCAGCACCGGCAGAAAGGGTTCCTGCAATCGCGTGTGCAGTGCTACGCGAAATGTTGTGGGCCCGAAAAGCAACAAATACCCTCAGCATCGAGAAACTCGAACATGAAATCTCCAAACCAGTAAGATTGAACAGGAAGCAGCACCGACACGGAGTAGGAGATATTGCCACGCGTTTCCACGCAAAAAGGCAAAGAACACCGCAGGGAATGTCCCCCATAGCCAAAGTGTCCAGCAACCTGGCTTCTGCAGGTTGTCTTCTCGCGGTTGGCTACGGTCATACAGTAGCTTGACTTGACAAGACGCCTGTTTTGAATGTGCAGCTTTTGCACGAAGAGCCCAGCTTGCTTGCAGCACTGAGCCCGGTTGAACATTCCTCCTTCCGGGCCCTGTGCAGGTGGGCGATGATAGTCTTTCTGTTCTTTCCGGTCGCCTGTATTTCACTGGCAGCCCAGCAGGCACGATCATCAAGCCAAGCGGGAGCCAAAATCAAGGTTTTGACAAGTTTGAACGACTTCACGAGGTTTCTTGCTTTATGCTCCAACCTTTCGTGCGGTCGCATGTGCAGATCACATCGCCTCTGTCTCGTTGTTGCTGTTGTGTGTAGACAGTAGACCGTTGAAGGAGTCGGCACACAAAAAAAGGAGTCAGAGCATGCAGAATCCAAAAAGGCTTGTCGAGGACCTGAAAGCCATTTTTTCAGGTGAGCGGCGACTCTCCCCGGCTGGCATCTCTGGGGAGCTTGGTGGCCGCTTGGGATTTCCAGATCCTAGGGTCCTAGGGAACTCCCTGAGAGGTCTTCCGGCTCAAGGCTGTAACACACACACTTCTCGCCTCGCAGACTGCAGGATGCTGTTTGCACAGTTTACGTAAAGATTAACCGACATCAACCCAACCGTGTGGCAACCAAAGCCGAAAGCCAAACGACGCCTGACCATATATGGCTCAAGGGCCGAAGGGAGCTACAGCAAATACTGAGGCCGTGACAATCTATGCTGGCAGCATCGGTTTGGCACGGGCCGCCGTCGACTCCTTCCACTTCAGCTGGGTTTCGTTTCTTCTCTCCTTGATCCTCGGCTCTTCTGTGCTTATTGAAAAGGTCGTAGGATGTGGTAGGTTCTTTGGAATAGGGTCTCAGAACTGAAAGTGCCCTCCAATTTGATAGCTGCTGATCCATATACCATCTACCATAGCCCACATCCAATCGCGCCAGCGACTCCCGGAGACATTATCGTCCCCGCGCAAATGCCACATGCCATGCGCGTACATTCTGTTTCTCGGCTTTTGCACAACCCGTTGGGTCGGTCCGTGCATCATGGTGGCGTGGAAAAGTACCGGCTGACATTTTCATACCTAGCCATTGCAGACTTTCTAAAGCCATCAATATGACGAGGGTGAGTGTCGAAACGACGAAATCGATTTGATCGCATGAATGTGAATGGCTTTGGACCCCAACTGGTCAGAGAGCCAGGGGTGCTGCACAGTCTTGGACCATACTGAGTACTGGCGTGTGTTTCTGCTTCAGTAAAAGTGTCTATGAAGTCGCCCATAGTACAACAACATGTTCTTGAATTAGTGGCGATGTGGGTTGGAATTCCACCCCTGCGAGCCTGGGATGTGCGACGAGGGCGCAGCCGACACGTCAGCGACCGCCAGCCCCCAATCGCAGCGTTTACGGAAGCATTTCCGCTCGGCCCGCAAAGGCGGTACATAATGGGTTCGAGATGCAGAACCTGTAGCGTGTCAGGCGTCCCTTCGGAAGATCCGGTCAACAGCTCCCTTATCATCCCCAAGATCTGGGACGATCGCTTCATTTTCCTGTTTCAAATTGGGCCCCCCGCAACGAATCATGGTGAATGTGCAGAATCGTCGATCAACCTGCTCACGAAACGTGACCACGTCATTCCTCCGAACAGTGGCCTCCAATGCTCATAGTGTTTGGCAGTTACGCTCTGGAGGGTGCGCGGCCACTGCGAATGCTCGTAGTCGTGAGGCTTTCTAGCCCTACGCCCTACGCCCTATGCGCATGGCTGCCAGTGCGATCGAGCGCGGCCACGCATGCTGACGTGAAAGACTTCATCGGCAATGAAATTTGATGACACCGTTTTTTAGGGTTATCGCTTTGACTCATATCTGAGCATTGAGCAGTAGTTTCAAGATTGCGTCGACGGAGATCGTGCGCGATCTTACCGCAAGTTCATGATGCCGAGATCCCCAACATACAATACGTGTACACCATCGCAATCACCGAAGACATGAAGAGAGGGAACATCAAGCCCACACAAACCAGCTGATCAACAGGGCCTTGCTTTCCTTGCCGGGCTTCTCGGCATGGTGGCGTCGCAGGCATGGGCATGCGATCATCATGGAAGACTCTGCCGCGGCGAGCGATCAGATACGAGAAAACATATGGATGTGGATCCATCTGCGATGTTAAAGTGTTCAACCAGTTCTCACATCCCGGTCGCAGCATGAAGAGGTGCGATCGCTCGATGCATGCTCATGCAGTGAGTGTCCAAGTGGGACGGAAGAACGGGGCTGGTTCCTGAATTCCCCGGACGTTCGGGTTTACATACAAAGGCTTATTTATTTGTACACTGGCAACGTGCTTGTGCGATTGTGTTTGTGTTCGTGCGCCGCCGAGGCTTGCACTCTTCTTGCTAGGTTGCTACTTCTGCCAGTTTGTGTGGTGGATGGATCCTTTCAGCTTCACCTCCGTTTCTGCTGCTCGGCTGCGGTCGAGCCGGGTGAGCACGGCATGTTTTCAAGCGGTCGTGACATGACGTGTGCTTCGAGCTCAGTGTAACACGCAGACAGCTCAGGTTGCGATGCTGTGTGTCAGCGCGGTGCCCGGCACCGCCCTGGCCTTCCTATGTGGCAGCTGGCAAGGGAGTGGAACCTTGCTCGCCGTGCTCTCTGGAGATCAGGCTGCGAAGTGAGGTGGCAGAGAGTATTTTGCAAAAATGGGCACAGCATGCAGGCGGAAGCAGGGCCAGCGCCTCTTGGATGAAGAGGAAAACAGAGTAGCTGTTGGAGTCTTTGCGCATTGGTTGCCTCAAGGTCTGCACTGCCTCGAACGAAACCGAAGAGGATTGCCTTGATTGCCAGCTTGATCATCCTTGAACTTGGAGTGCTAGCAGCATACGGTGCGGGCCTAAACACGGGAGATGTCACTCGAAGTGCTTGTCCGTCTGCTTTTGTCGCAAGGTCTCGCGGTTCGAGTGCTCACAACCTCCGAAGATGTTCGCAATGTCGGATTTGTTTTGGTGGCTGCCGTCGTCATTCTCGATTCGATTGCCACTCGGTGAAGCCGTGTATACATATGCTTGGATGTACCTGTTGACGTTGGTTTTGTCGCTGCGTGTGGGTCCACGTGATGGCTTGGCGATGTTGAAGCAAAGAAGGTTTGGCTTGTCTGGGCTTTGGGCCTGGTGACCGGTGCTGCGCAGACAGCCCTTCTCATGGTGGCGGCACGAGCTGCCGCCTGTGTGTGGGGAGATGACTACTGGCTCCTGGGCAACTTGTCTGCTTCTTTACATGCTGTTGCTATTGCCTCGTGATGCCAGCGGATTTAGTGGCTGGGGTGCTTACGCTAAGCAGTCGTGCTTCAACCCTGCTTTCGGTGAGCTGCAGGACATTCTGGTGTATTCCTGGCGATGGTCGTGCTGTTGGCCCACATGGTGGTAGACTCCATCATTCCGGCACCGGACAGCCCAAAGGTGCTAGATAGTGTGTTGCGTGTGTTGCGTGCGTGCGTGTGTGTGTGTGTGTGAAGATTAGCACGCACAGTTGTCCCCTGCTCAGAAGCATTTACCTCTGAAGCCGGCTTGGGCCCAAAACAGATCGATCTTCTAAGTTTGGAAGTGGAGCTTCGGCTCTGTTGTAAAATGAAGCCGTAGGCTGCCGGAGAGCATTGCTCTCGCGTTGCTTGGGGCAGCGGCTTTCTTTCGACTTTTCCCTCGGGAACACGATTCGGACCTTTGGGAACATGCGTGCTTGGCTCTTGATTCTGACGACGAGCATCCTTGTGCTCAGCAGCCCGAGAGGACATTCGGAGGCCGCTCCCTGTGATCTGAGCGAGCCGCGCGACAACTTGCACTTTGAACCCATTTTCTCCTGACCAACAGCTACCCGTTCCAGTGCCGCAGCAGGGTCCTGGAAGTCTTCCTGGATGGCCTTTTCTCCGTCAGCGAATTTCAAGAGTTTTCCTTCGGTGGCAGGCAGTTCTACAACTTCAGTGTGGAAGTTCCCTCGTTTTCAGAAAGCTTCCCTTTGGATCTCCTCGAGGGATGTGTCTTCGAGGACAGTCTGAACTTGAACCTCGAGCTCCCCTTTCCTTGGATTACACGGCCGACCTCGAACCCTTCACTGGATATCGAGCAAGGAACCTCGCCATGGCAAGTTCGAGCAGCGGACCTGGAGGAGGAATCCCCTTGCACGAGTTCCGAAAAGATGTTCCTCCGGCCTGGGCCCCTGGGCTCTCTGACTATCCCCTCAGGCTCTACTTTGAAAGTTTGAAGTTTCGGTACAGGAAGTTTCGTGGGTCCGACGAGCTGGTTGGGCCCTTGGTTGCTGGACGCTTGCAGGGCAAGGCTGCTGGGAATGCAGCTGAGGTTGGTGAGGCCGGACGGCACCTACGACGTAGGCAGCGATGCCTTTGTGGGGCTTTGGTCGATGAGGTCCGGGATCCCATGAACCCGGCGGTCGTGATCCAGCATGCCATCCTAGTCGAGTTCAAGCTTTATGCAACAGGCTGAAGGAGGGATCAGGAGCTTGTTTCCCGTAGCATCAAGGAGTTTTTTAGGAGGCGACAAACAAGGCAGGACTGGACTTGAATTACGTGGCCAAGTTCTACTTTTTTTCAGGGGCAGCGGGTTTCCTCAGAGGTTCGTGGAGGACATCAAGCTGCAGTTGCAGAGCGACCTCCGCAGATACCACGACGCCCGCACCATCGCCCTTCGACTGATTTCCAAGAAGAACGATACCGGTGACTTTTTCTACCAAGGTGATTTCGAGCAGGACCACTTGCACCGAGCTGATGACGAAGACGATTGGAGCTACTGGATCGATGACAGCTGGTCCTGGGCGGATGACTGCGACACGGCCGAGACCTCCTTTGATGATTCGTGGCATGATGGCCACTTCTACGAGCAGGGGGACTACGGCCATGGCTGGCAGGGCGATGAGACTTGGCACGAATGGCCTGAGGAGAACAACTCCGGTCCGCGCGCCTCCCGAAGCCGATCGCGGACAGACTGAGAATGTTCAGGAAGCCTTTCCTGTGAAGGGCAAAGGAAAGGGCCTCGGGTGCACGATCTGTGGCCCTCGATGGCACCAGACCAGCCCTGGCCCCGTTGGCGGTGGAAAATCGAGCACATTATATGGCGGTGGCAGGGGTAAAAGGTAAGCCTTACCGGAAGGGCGTCGGAGAGGGCAAGGGCAAGTACAAGAACTCAGGATGGTCTGGCTCCGGAAAAGGAAAGGGTTACTACGGCTACTCGTCCAAGACCTTGGTTGGCAGCTTTGGAGAAACCTCTTCTTTGACCAAGCTGTCCAAGGCGAAGACAGTCCACATTCAGCTGGACTCTGAGATGCTCTGAGGAGCCTCGGTTCTCAACCTTGGGCGGAACAAGGCTTCAGAGGATGCTGTGCCGCGGACGATGATGACGAGAATGCCACGAGCTCTGTGACAGCACAGCAGCCAACGGCTGCTGGAAGGCGTCTGGACCTCTCGTTCCCAACGGCCATCTACAACGAGCACACGTGTTGGGTGAGAAGCATCGGGGTTAACTTGTCGATCCTGGTGCTGCGAGTGGGCTGGTCGGAAGCGAGACTTTGCTTGGAAAGCTGTGTCCCGGCGATTCACTCAGCGTCACCCCGGAGTCCACCCTCCTTGCAGTTGGCAGGGGCTTCTGGGTCGTTCGTGGCCGACGTCTTTGGTGCCTACGCAGTCGATGACAGCAGATGCGTTGACTAAGTCGATGTTGGCGCCACCGATGATGGAGCTCCTCTCCAGTGGGACCACTTCATTCCACAACGAGGAGAATCACCCGGATCACGCGGTCGTTGCCTACTCTTCCGTCCATCGAGGAGAAACACTTTGACATGACGGACCGCGAGCTGGTGAAGGACATTGCCAAGGCTTTCATTGTTTTTTCGGGATGTAAGTAAAGGCAGCGCTTTGTTTGCATGGTTTTGCTCGTGACGAGTGCTACGGCATCCACAACTTCGAGCTCTACTACCTCCTCGGCTTCCTCCGACGACAACGGGTGGTACTTCATGATGGCCTACGCATTCACGGTGATTCTGGGTGAGCGGCTACTGTGCGCAACATCTCGATTGTGGATGCGCCGAGTCTTTGGTGAGTGGTGGATTACAGCGACGACTACTTCCACAACGACCACTACGGGGACACCAACAGCTCCAAAAAGACCGACCTCTACGACCTCTTCTTCGTCTTCGGCGACTCCCGCGATGGTTTCTACGGCTACCTGGATTGATGATGACCTCGAGAAGGGCAACTCCGCGCTCCTCGACATCGCTGGCATTGAAACGGGAAGCCTCAAACTGAGGGATCAGAACAACGCGTTGGATGGACACCTCCGACACATCAACGAGCTTTGCTTTGCTCAGCAGGCAGAGATCCAACGTCTTCGTGATGCCCAGCAAGCAAATGATTCAATGCGAACGCCGAAGAGCTTCTCTGTACAGTTGCTACTGGTCGGACGTGGCACAGAAACAGACTGTGTTATCACCTTAGATGGGTGAACTTGCGGAGCATGCGTCCTCGTAAGGACTGCAGCCGCGCTGCATGATTATATTTGTCGGGAACAAGAGCAGAGTCAAGATTCGCATGTACAATTGTTCTATGCTCAGAAGCACTTACCTCTGAAGCCGGTTTGGGCCCAAACAGATCGATCTTCTAAGTGTGTGTGTGTGTGCGCAAGCATGAACATGCATGGTGTAGGCTTCTGCCAGTCTGCAAAGGTGCGACGGCAGCGTGCAGCAGCAGACATGTTGGAGACGCTGCATGCGAGTATGGCAGGAGGACCTGGTGTTTTGCGAGTACCTTCTTCAAAGTCGTGCATGGGGATAAATTTGGTTCCGAATCCAAGAGAGGATCAGGATCAGGCGACCATGCCATGCCGGTGCCGTGGCATTCTTTGAGCCGTCTTAGGAGATGCTTGGAAGTCGCATGAGTCGAGGTGACGCTGGCAGCTCCAGTGATCGCAAGGTGGAAGCAGTGGCTCCCTCCGTCGCCTGGTTGTGTTCCATTCCATTCCACTCCTCAACCCCGTGGTTTTGCAAGCGTGTCAGGTCGGTGCTCCTGGGCATCATGTGCATATTTGCTGGCGAAGTGGCCCTGGTGACCTTACGCTTCGAGGAACCTGAAATTTCCTGGTGCAACACCTGCGAAGCGCGCCCGCAGCAGTACTACGCTGGCACCTTGGCTGGATTCAACATGCAAGCGCCGCAGCCGGTCTTTGTCGTCTCCAGTGTCCAAAGTGCTGATATGAGAGGTGTGGCCTTGGGCGCCGGCTTGGTGTATGCTGTGTCGCTATATGGCCTGCGACGGTCGCAGCTGCAGGCTTGGCACGAAACTACGCAGGAACTGTGTCCATAGAACTGAAGCTCGGAAGCATTCCGTGCATTTGAGGCATTCGGAAAGAAGGGGCCGCTGCTGGAAACGGCTCCCTTGGGCCTTGCTCCGAAGCTGAAAGTCTGGAGGTGAGAATGCGAGAGATGAGCACGGATGGTCGCAATGTTTTTTCTAGGGCAACTCGCGTGCTCAGGTTGTTCCATATCTGTGCTGGGTGGGGGTTGCGGCCTACACCTCTTGGGTGGCAGACAGCTGGGCAGTGTTTATGCTGCACTCATGACCTGAGAGCCTGCAGACACTGCAGACAGCGAAGCCGGTTTAATTCCGTTGTTGATCTGGTCCTCTCGGTGAGATCAGAGTTTGGGCTTCAGGTCCTCGTTCACGTTAGCCTCCTGCCTTTGATTCTGGGCTTATTCTTCTCCGCACATCATCGCTGGGTGGTGGATGACTTTCACTTGACACCGAGGCCACTCGATCTGCAGACCTGCAGCTGTCAATTGTCATCCGTCGTTTGTCTTGGGTTCAATCATGCAGCCCTTTGCCGGAGGCCGCCCGGCACAGCCAAGATCGCCCCAGAGCCAAGTTCGGGAGGCTGACATTGATTATCCTCGGGTTGTAGCATGGAAAGTGAACTACAGGTGATGTGAGAGAATGGGCATTGTTCTCTTGCAGAGTGCAGACGCTGCAGGTACTGCAGGCGAGCCGACGAGCGACGGTGGGACAGCCGCTGCCGATCCGGCTGATCCGGCTTCCAGTGGACTTGCAGGTGGTTCTTCCTCGAGCCTTGCTGAGGACACGCCAGCACTGGCTCAATTGTCACGCATGGCCTCTCATTCTCATAGCCTATTGCAGGATAAGCCGAGTTGCTTGGGAAGGGTGCCGTGGACAGTGCGGATATGGCTGATGGCACTCCTCCTCGACATCGCTTATGTCCCAGCCCAAGCATTTCTGCGTGCCCCGTGTTTGCCACGCCGGTGCTGACTGCCGAAGAGCCTGTTTGGAAGACTGCGAGCCACGCTCCATTCTGAGGGCGTGATCCTGCACTTGGTGTCGGAAATTCGCTTCCGATGGGTGGGCTGGAGCATCAGTGGCGGAGTCCTTGTCTTGGCACTTACCTTCATGAGCAACCAGTAGCTTGGCAGAGCTGTGGTTCAGTTGCAGCCTCGGGCTCTAGTCACTTCGACGGAGCCGTGGCTCCGTCACACCATCTAATGTCGGAGCCATGGTGTTTGCAAGGATGTGGTTTGGCACCTTCCAGTTGTACCCAGAGCAGCCCATATTCTGGGGATTCATTGTGCCTTTCCTGCAGAACCATTTGAAAGTCTCTTTCCAGCGGTGTCGTAGCGGCCACAGGCGCTAATCCTCTTGGCTTGGGCTGGTGGTGTCTGGTATTTTGAGAATGACATGAAGGCAGGGCACTCCGCTCCTTGGCACAAGTCACAGCACGCCCTGCCTTGCTCTGAGGTCGACAACTTTGCCATGGTTCTGCTCTGCGTCGTTGTCCTTTATCCGGCGGTTTATGTGGCAGTCCTTGCAGTGCAGGCACATCCCCTTTTGCTGAAAGCGAACGTTGTTTGCACTTCGACTTGCAGGTTCTGCGCGATGCAAAATGGAGTCCCAAGGCACCGAAGCGAGCTTGTCGCACCCAACGGGTAGGGTCTGTTCGGATGCTCCGTGTCGTAGGGCTGTCGCTTTTTCACCTCGTCCTCGGAGGATGCTTCGACATTTCGTTTTGTGCGAAACGCGCTCATCTTCAGCACGGTGGCTTGGACATACACGGTTACATGGTACTGAGTACCGACACGTCCGCAAACAAGTTCAGACAAGTAGTGGTGAGGAAGGCTTCTTGAACGAGCTTACGACTTAAGGAGTCAGTTAGAGCCAGAGCTATGAATGAGGTCGTCTACTTGGCCTTCCTTGGCGCCTTGGCCCTGCTGAACTGGGCTGCCGCACTCGGGGGCTTCTGCCTGCTGCTGATGGCGGTCATTATCGGCCTGGCCTTTTGGAAGTGGTTGCGGAACAATCGCTACATCAGCTACCGGGTGACTCTTCTGCAAGGATGGCAGTGCCGTAGCGGCCCGACGAGGGGCAAGATGACAGGTGAAGCTGGCCAGCGCTGTCGCCGTGGCCTTCTGCGTCCTGGGTTCTGCTGTCGGAATCACTTTCTACTTTCAGAGCATCTTTGGAGGCTTCACCACAGCCCCGTGGATGCGCTAGACTCCGCTAGACATCTCTGGACTCTGGAACCCAACCTGAGCACCCTTGGCCGCTGTGTTGTGCGAAGGTCTGCGTCGGGCTGACGCTGCTACTGGCTGGTGCCGCAGCTTCGGAGGCTCCAAACCTGCGGCAATGTCGGTCTGCTGAAGATGGCGCTAAATTTCGAGAGTTCCAGGTCTCAGATGCCCAGAGCCGAACAGCTTTGGAACAGCTTCGCGTGGAGTGCAGCCCCTAATGGCAGATCTCAAGGCTAGCACATGTTCGGATCGCATGGCACTGGCACACTGCAACTCGCGCTTCTCCGAGATCTTCCAACTTCGTCTTCCCCATGTTCCGTTTCCGGGGCGGAGAGCTTGCTAGGGCCCATTTCGACATATCCTCAACCATGCAGGCCAGGACGTTTGCCTCCATGCTCTTGGGTGCTTTCCGTTCTGTGATTTCGCATCTTAGAGCACTGTTGCAAGTCATGCTTCAGAGTCCTCCAACATCTCGAGCAGTCTCGTGTGGCCTCCGCGGCCACAGCTCGTTTCAAGTCGCCACTGTCAGACTGGCGTTTACGAGGCGCTGGGTGTAATCTCGCTCTGGGGACTGGTGGCCGCCGTGGTGCTGGATGAGTTTCCAGCCCTGGGTCTCTTGAATCAGAAGGGGGTTAGAGCTCGGAACCCTGAAGCGTGTGACACTGGGTAGGGCAACATCTAGTTTGAGGCAGACGAAGGCTGTAGCGTCACTGGAAGAAAGTAACCAATGAAGCTTTACAAGCTCGGTGTATCGCATCATGCTTTTGGCACCCTTTTTGTGGATGCATATCTCGGAATGACTTTCTCACGAATCCTACAAGTAAGGCATGGTCGTTGGAGTGCTTGCCCTTATGGCTATCCTTATCCTGAGACTCGGCGGCAACGCGCTTCAAAGCGCAGTTTATGTTGGAGAGTCCCTCCAAAAGCCGAAAACCCAAAACATGGAGCCACGCTGAAGCACAGCTGCAACTGCGCTGATCAAAAGATTTAGCGGCGGCTTCTTAAGATCGGAAGTAGCCTAAGCTTGCAAACTTTCTCTGCCCTAGACTTCCTCCATGTGCCTGATCGCCCCCCCGGGATGCCTCGTAAGTTCATATCGTCTGTCGGAGATTCAGATGCAAAAGCATCCGAATCAGATGCTTTCAAGATGCCGCATACGGCCTGGACAAGTAGAAGTGGTTCTCAGCACGTAGGTCCGTAGGTTCTGTCAGGTGGGCGCATCTCGTGGCCAGTGGAGGCCAACGCCGGGCCCTGGTCCTCGAGCAGCCGCGAGCTAAGCCTCGGCCCAGAGACTCCCGGGCTCCGAAAGCTCCAGATTTTGCCAAGGCTGCCTCAGGCACAGCTGTTGGCAGCTGCGAAAGAGGCGCTGGATGGAGGCGCCGGGAGCATGCCACTTCAGGGCCTACAAGCACAAGCTGCATCCTGGGCTTAAGCACATGTTGACAAGACGAGGACAGATTCCACTGTGAGCAGCTTGCAGGCTTCTGTGGCATTAGGGCTCGTGAAGTAGTTGCCGTTGGGATGTCGCTCCTACGTGCTGGGGCCGGTTTCCTCAGGCAAAACCACTGGCCGATCAGGAGCAGTGCACGAAGCTACCTGGTTGATTGCTCGAAGGTCTACGTGAAAGCAGATCGCTTCGGCGGAGCTGGCAGCTATGCAGCCGTACCCATCCGAAAAGGAGAACTGGTGGAGCGTGGCATTGTTCGACGCTTGCCCGTGGATGGGAATCACTGTCCATATGTGTTCACCTGGAGCGAGGACAAGACCGTGTGGGCCAGCGGCAGTGGCTGCTCCGTGTTTTACAATGCCTCGCTGGACGGCAGTGAGAGCACGGAGATGAAAAGGTTCTTCGAAGAGGATCGGTTCGAAATTTATGCTCTACGTGACCTGCAACCGCACGAGGAGCTCACGCACCTTTACAAGAGCATGGAGTGGAGAGCATGCTTTCAGGACCTGCGGCAACCAGCGAACTCTTCAGAGGCCACTGTCGGCGCTTTAGGTGCAAGCGAGGAGAACCTGGTCGACTGTTCAAAAGTTGAGGTTCGTCCAGATGATCATGGTGGAGCAGGGGTTTTTGCAGTCGTGCCTATCAAGCGTGGCGAGCTTGTGGAGCGCGGCATCGTGCGGCACCTGCCGGTGGACGGTAACGTGAGCCCCTACGTGTTCACTTGGAGCGAGGACAAGACCGTGTGGGCCAGCGGCAGTGGCTGCTCCGTTTTCTACAACGCGTCCCTCAGCGGGTCCGAGAACACGGAGGTGGTTCGCCACTTTGACCGGGACCGCTTTGAGATCATTTCCCTTCGTGACATCGAGCAAGGAGAGGAATTGACGCACCTGTACAAAAGCATCGAGTGGCGCAGCTGCTTCCGGGACCTGAAAGCACAGAGAGATCGCCAAGGCTCCTAGGAACCCTGGAATCCTCGATCAATGCGGGGCGTTGCCGCCTGTTCAGTATCAGCAGTGACTTCGCTGAACTCGTGGCGCTTCGCCTGGCAGGGCTCAGGCAGTCTCAAGCAGAAGCCTTGTGGCGAAGGAAGTCCAGACCTGTCCGACTTATCATCAGCTCCTGAAGAGCGGCGTAGCAACCTGCCCCGAGGTTCGACAGCCACTGCTCGTTAGGGGAGGGTTGGAAGAACGTCCAGTGGCTGGTGCCGTGCCGCGAGACAACCAAAGAGCGGCGTGCAAATCATCAGCGTGGAGGTTGCTGGTTGGTGCTTCAGAATGCTCAGCGTTTCTGTAATGACTTCCTTCAAGCTCCTGTAGCTTTTTACCCCTGGTTGGACCGGTTGTCGTGCAGCTTTGCCTGCCTGGTGCTAGTGTGAGTCGAAACCTGCGCAAGCATCAGTGACGTATCAAATAGCATTTCCACAGCCAGGTCTGGGAGGCGCCAAGGTGGCTGACACTGCGAGCAGTGAGAGTGACAAGGACACACCCTGCTCTGCGTGACGGATCTTTGGTCAGGGTTGCGAAGCATGCGACCACCTGTGCCCAGGACACTCAGCAGAAGCTCATACAAGCGGTTCAGGAGTTCTCAAACGGATGCAAAGCCGGCATGGACGAGTTCCACGCCCAGGCGGGAGATGCGGACCCAGCACTTTCCTTGGCGTATTTTTCATGCTTCCGATCTCCAGGTGAATATCGCTTGTGCTGGGCGTTTCCATACCTTCCCGCCAGTCGCACTGTTTCAGATTCTGAACGCGACGGTGGGCCTTTGTCGCAAAGGACGGATACATAGTACCCGGAATGCAAATGAAGGCAGCTATTGCTCAGTGTATGTGCCCTATGTCTGTCACCCTGGCACCCACAGGCCCAATGTGCTGTGTTGAGGATGAACTGCCGAAACTTTCCTCAGGACAAGGCTGCGTGGCTGACAACTCTCCCGAACAGCCACGCGATGCCCACCAACAACTTCTGAAGAGTGCAAGGATCGGCTTCAGCATGCTTGTCCAATGGAGCTGCTGGACGGTTGGCTTTGCTTCGGTGTGTTTGTGGAGTGCACAGCTCAGCTAGGAAATGGCTCGCTGCTGTTTGCAATCGGCAGCGCTTCGATGCACGTCTGCAGCTGCTTAGTTGCAGACATCTGCAGATTGACACTTTCGCACTGGTCGCCGTGTAGGAGTATGACGACGACGATGACGACTATGACGGCTAATTAGGCTAATTGGTGCTACCACTTCCGCCGCCGCTACCGCCACCACTACCATGGCCACTGCCAGAGCGAACGCACTGCCGCCGTCACTGCGACTGGGACGAAGACCACCATTGCGTCTACCATCAGCACTACCACTACCGCGGCCGCTCCCACTGCCACTGCCACTGCGATTACGATGACTTCGGCAAGCTGCTGCTGCTGCTGCCGCCGGCATATTGAGAAGAAAGTGTACCAAGCAAGAAGTCTCTTGGATTCGTGTGATTACTGTCGTCGTTCATGCTCTTAGTGCTACTACCGGCAATTACTCTTATTGCTATCAGGCTCGAAGTTGCCCATGTGTCTCACTACCTATATGTTACACCCGACGTCGTTTTTGTCGTAAGCACCCGTCGTCGTTTGCGTCAGAGTTGGTTAGTGGAATACCCGTGAGTTTCAGTGGAAACATCTTGAAAGTTATTTGTTCGAATGGTGCAGCAACCACTTGGAGTGCCGCAGGGGTGATCACAAGAATGATGCTAGTAGCAGTGGCAGTGGTAGTAGTAGCCGCCGTCGTCGTCCCAAGCGTGCTGCTTGCTGGTAGAAGCAGTACTGACGGCAGGGACAACACCTCCACTGCCCCCAATATCCCCCCAACAAATTTCTCACAGCGCTAGCAGGTGAAGACATCTTTGTCGCCCGAACCCGTGCTTGCTTTGCGAGTGTGCGACTCGAAGCCCGAAGCCCTATATCCCAAATTACTAAACTAAACTGTTGTTGCTTTCCAGGCTCTGCCTTCTGTCGGCGCAGCATCAGCAGATGTGGGCGAAGGAATCTGAGTTCCGGGCCTTCCTGGAGAGCAGAGGCGATCTCCATGTCAACATCAAACCATGGAAACGAGGACACGTGACAGCAGAACGGGATGAGCTCACGGGGATAATGGCAGAATCGTGTGTCCTTGCGCCTCTCACTTAACTGTGCCGTTTCTGGGAGGTTCCGCGGCCAAAGGATTGACTATGGACGACTTCAAGCTGCAGCGTGTCTGCAGCAACGAGGATCCCACTTGCAAGGCGAAGTCTCATCAGGTCCATGGAGACCTGTCCAGCGACTGAGGTTGCCAGAAGAAGACCGCAAAGCACTGGAGGAGCGTTGGAAGGCACCCACACGACTTGTTGGGGGCATGCTTGCAGACCATTGAATTCTGCCACTGCCTCAGTCCCCACTCGCGTGACTACCCGCTAAATCGACAGCCCAACCCCAATCATCCCTGCACCCTAAAACCAAGTAGTGGTGATAGCCTGTGTTGCTTCCCTTTGAGCACTGCGCAAAACAGAGTTGGAGGCCTGGCTCCATGGTCTCAACCCAAGCTTTGACCACTTGCTCCCTTGAGTTTAACACCTGGGGAAAACGCGCTTTTGTTTCTGGGTTCCACACTCCTGGCCAGGAGTGGAAGGAGGCAGAGGCTGCGAAGCAGCGACTGGAGGATGAGCGGAGGAAAGAGGAGGCGGCCTTTGAGACACATCTGCCACTGCGGGGCAGCGAGTGACGAAGTGTCAGTCTTCAGCCATCTTGATGAGGAAGAGGCGGCCAAACGGCGAGAAGAGGAGCAGCGGCGGCGTCGAGCTGACGCGCGAGAGGTTTCCAACCTGATTTGGTGTCGACCCTTTCAAAGATTCTTTCTGGCAGGCTGTGGAGAAGCTTGTCAAAGACCAGTGTGGCGACATCGAGAAGCTTCAGGCCGATTCAACGCGGGTATGCAGGATAGACAGTGTGTGGGCAGTCTCCTGAAGTGGAAGAGTCCAGGCACGACATAGCAAAAGTTGACAAGCTTATCCTGCTCCCAGGCTGCTGTGAATGCTGCACTGGGAGCTGGTGTGCCGTTTGATTCGGCGGTGGCTGAAGCGACCCAGCGAGTGCAGGAGTGGCTGAAGCGTGGTATCGTGGAGCTATGTGGAGCTAAGAAGCTAAGAACCCACGCCTGCAGCGGCTGAATACCTCCAGGAGCTGCGCAGCACAGTGGAGCTCTTGCAGAAGGCTCTTGCCATCGACGTGGCCTGGATCGCAAGAGAGTGAAGCTTCTTGCAGCTTACAGTTCAGCTCTTCAGGCTTCCAGCGAGGCAGCCGTGAAAGAGCTCCAGAATGCAGTGGAACACGCGGAGGCGGCGAGTCTCCAGAGCTGCTCATCCTAACCAGAAGCGCCGAACCATGACTTGGTGAGCCGTTTGTTGCCGCTTGATTTTGGCAATCCGTAAGGTGACCTGATCCAGAAAGCGAGGGACAAGATCACCCAGATCCGAGGGACATTGTCAGCTGAGGAGGAGGCAGAGAGAAAGCGCAAAGAGGCAGAACGATTGAAGAGACATGGCCCGCACTTCTCTATCTTAGGCTCTCAGGCATTGCCCCGCGTCTTGGCTTTTGTCACTCTTCATGCGCTAGGAAGGCGGGGAGATTGCACCCAAATAGGCTTTGCACCTGCAGCCGTAGCGGAATTGCACCTCGCTGTGAACTCTGGTGGTGAGAAGACGTGGGCGTGGGAGCAGCTCGCGTTTGTTACCTAGGAAGCTACAAGAAGAGGCCCGGGAACGACGGAGAAAAGCCGAGGAGGTGCATTGGCAGAGTGAAGCTTCCAGTGATTCCTAGGAGGCCTTCCTGGTGGAGTTTCTTAGATGGCGTTCCCATGATAAGTCGTCGCGATTCTGCCAGAACTGCAGTCTCGGGAAGACGAGCATGCGTTCGTTGCTTGCACCGTGACGGTAAACAGCCACGGAGTGTTCCGTCGGCTCAGCAGCACTATGTAGAAATGTGGCGGCCTATCTGTACAATTTAATCCAGCAGAGTCAATTAGTGTTGTCAATCGTTCGGTATGTTTTACAGCAAGTTGCCTGTGTGGTATTGGGAACAGGAGGTGAAAGCAGTGAGGTTACAGTGACGTCGGGCGAGCATCTTTCGAACAGCATCCATTAGCCACATCGTGCTACGTTTGCTAAATCACAGGAAGTCACTCAATGAGTACAAAACACACGCTCACGCACGTACGCATCAGTACGTGCGCATAGTTTGCATGTTCCCTTGTGCACAAAAGCACGGAGAGAAGATCTTTGTCTCGCTAACGCTGCCTGTACTCGTGTCAGGGGAGTGCTTGTGTAGTTTCACTCAAAGTCTACCACAACCACTGCCATCACCACGACGACGGCTACTACTACAGCTTCGTTTTCGATGAAGCTTTCGGCTATGACGACGACGATGATTTTTGCTGCTACTATGCCTACTACAGCCTGGCAGCTTTACGATGGCAACAGCTGCCCGAGAGGTCATAGCGGTCCTAATGGCAATGTCCGAGCTGACAGTAACTGCCATCAGTAAAGCAATCATGCGATGATTCCAGGAGCGGCGGAAGAAAGAGGAGGAAGACCGATTGAAGAGGTGTGGGCTTGCGGAGCGGCATAGGACAGAGACTCTGCCACGATGACGAAATGCTTGAGATGGTTGCATGTTGTGCCCCTGCGGGCACCTCCTTGCACAGGGGTGGAGCACCGAAAGTGATAGAGGCCAATATCGACTTGCTGAAGTTCGCTCGCCCAGCGCTGTTCGTTTGGGGTGCCCGAAAGAGAGCAGTAGAAGCCCACAGTGAAGCACGAGGCACTCCAGCCAAGGCACAGCTTTTCCGCTTACAACTATGCAGGTATGTGTGTATGCATGTATGTACGTAGGTATGTATGTAAGTACCAGTCAGTTGCCTCTGCGTGTAAGTATTTATGTACAGCTACGGGTCAAGGTAGCCATTCTCGCCCCAGTTCTGTATCGGCTCGAAACCTGTGTGCCCAACCCCCGAGCCCTGCCCTGCTGGAGGTTTATCCCTCCTGGTCATTTTTTTCACCGTGACTGTACTATACTGTTCTACCATCTTAATCTTATGCGTACAGTGCACTGTACACGTGCACATATATATATATA